TTGGTGACCGAGTCAAAGTGTTCAGAGTTTTCATTTCTACAAATTAAGTCTTGCACTCAACCCACCCAATTCCAGGTTTCCAAAAGGTTTCAGATTCCTTTTTTGCTTGCTGAAGGAGACCATGGAGCACTCGAGATCTTCCATGGGTTCTTTCTCTACAGAGATGGGCCAGAGCACTTCGCCTTTAAAACTCAGTTTAGAGAACTTAAATTGCATTAGAATCCTAAAAATATTACAGTGAATCTAGGCAGGTGCTCAACATCTGCAAAGAAAAATTAGCTTTCTTGGATTTGGCCTGGTGGTCCAAGAATTCAGACAACTTAATGAATGTTTTTGTGACTGTTTTTCTTGATTCTCTTTTGGTCCCCAAAAGTGTCAAATGGGCAAAACCCACAAACTACATGACATACAAATCTCTCCAACCTCCAGAACCCAAAGAGATCAGGGCACCAAGACAGAAAATTTACATAGAAAAATGCTCCTTAATAAGCAATTTGAACACTTCTGTTCAGGAAAAAATTAGGCATCAGCTCAGTTCACAGAAAGTTGAATTTACTTCCATATCAATAAAAACCCTCAAAAGAAGCCCAAGGCTAAACTTTCTGACTCTGTACACACAGTTTAATTCACCTGCTTATGCCTGTGTATTTTTTAAGATATTACCAATCTAGGCAGTTGCCAGTGTCTACCTGGAATAAGAATCTCTGCCCCCTGGAAATGGTTCTTGAGTTTCACACTAAGGAAGGCTGGAGTGAAAATCTCAGATGCAGATGTTTACACTTGCCTAGATGAGTCACTATCCACACAGCAACAGAGATGAGAGCAAAAACCTCCTCATAATTCAATTAAAATCTTTCTGAATAATAAAATAATCAGTTTCCATTACACCAGAGACCTCCTCTCATCTTTTTGCACAGCTTGAGTGGGGCAGCGTCCCACTGTTACTGCAGGATTTATTTCTAATTCTATCTTTTTTAAATCATACTTAACTTGGGTGAAGTCTTTCTCCTGTTGTTTTTTTTTTTGGGGGGGGGATGGCAGAATTTGTGGTTCACTTGTTTTTTGGGGGTTGTTTTGTTGGTTTTGGTGTTATTTTAATTTGGCCATCCAAGGTGGAAATTGGAATATCAAATGCAAGGCAGAGAAACACTGGTCTTGAACATTAACTGAGTATCTCAGTAGTGTACTATTTTAAAAATAGTAAACTAACTAAAAGTTTTAAGTTTTGTTTCTTTACATTTTACATAGAAAAAATTGTTATAAAGAAAAAAGAAGTATTCTAAAAAAAATATTTTAATTCTCACTACTTTTTTCTTTTAGTTACTATTCATAAAATTTTCTTTAAACGATTTTAAAATTTTAAACCTACTTTAGCTATCTCACAACGAGAAATAAGTACATAAGTAATTTACCAACACTAAAACCCACCACACTCATCAACACATTAATTAAGGAATCTCCAAATTAAAAAACCCTTACATTACCAAACCAAAACCACTAGTCATGAAGGAGTATGTGGTGTTTGAAACTCATTGTGATTCTGTAGATCCTTTCTGCATTGACTGTGGCTCAGCACTATTTGTAGAAAGGAAATAATGATAATATTTATTTCTGTTTTCAGTTTTACCAGGGTACATCATGCGTTTGCTTTGAGACACTCAGATGGGACTGATAAAAATCCAAGGGATTATGATTCAAGAGAATCATTATTTAATGTCTTTGAGTGCAACTGTCCCAGGATCAGAAAGTCCGGGGTGTTGAGGCAGCCCTGGTTTCCTCCATCACCACACCCAGTTCAAGTGTAAATGTGTGTAAATTGGTGTTGTAAATTCAAACAAGATGAGGCTGAGGTTTAAAAGGGCTCAAATCAACATGAAGAGTCCTCCAGAATGCTGTGCACTGTCATTGTGACTTCTGCTGAAAGAAGATTAAATCCACACAATTTGTGTTGAGGCAATGGTGCTAAACCAGCCCAAAAGTGCAGGAAGAGAGGGCAGGGGGAGAAGCATCTCTGTGCCAGCTGACACGGTTTGGGAACAGATGGAGCATTTCACAGCTCTCCCTCACTTCTCACAGAGAAAAAGAAGGTAAGAACCAACCCACAAAGTTTTAATTCAACTTGTAAGATAAACCAGCTTGGCAAACAGAGAAAAATTGGGAATTTCAAATAGCTGCTTTAATCATACTGAAAAAAAAAAATCCTTGATCCCTGTAGATGATCTCACATCAATAAACTATTGCTCACCTTTTGCCATTGTGACAGAAATAAATCTTCCATCTAAATGTCGATCTCTTTAAATATATAGGTGTAAATAGATTAGTTATTATATTGGGTTTGGTTTGAGATGATTTTATACAACGTGCTTGCAAGTATAAATTTTTTAAAAACGATGCATCAAAAATTAACTTTCAGTTTGCTAATAATTTATGAAGATTTAACTCATTTGAATTAGCATGTATTGGAAGAAATTTCTCAGATACTTGCTTAAAAAGGTTTCATATTAAACACTAAATAAAATCAGCTGAAATCTAGGCCTTATAACATTTTAATTTAATGTAATGTACTTGTAAATAATATTAAACAAACTTCATAATTTAGTGAACACACATTTAAGCCAAAGCTGTAAATGTAGGAATCTGTGCACTTTGGACATTTTAATATTTTTTTTTTAAATCATAGCTGCCAGTAAAATAATTTAACAGGGGAATTAGCTCAGTAAATGTAACATGAGTTTATTTATTCTCCCAAAGTTAAGCTATTCAGCCAAACTCACAGCCTGGGGTTACCTGGACCAAAATTTGTTATTAGAATCTGCACAGACAGATTTCAGGTTAATTATTGCAACAGTTCATGAAATTTGGAATATCTTCCCCTCTACAAACTCCCCACTATACAGAACTCAGCCAACTGCTAATTTGCTCATCTTACAAGACAACTTTAGAATGCAAATTTCTCTGGATTCAAAGTAATCCACTGACATCTCTGTTCCACGATATCCCCTCAGAGCTGATCGCTGTCTCTAATTCACCATCCTTATTGAATGACACCCATTCTGACTTTCTTTTCCCAATAATTACACCAGTCTTAAAAAGAGCTTCTCCATGCCACCGAAATGCTTTTGTATCATTCAAGTGAGATTAGGGCACTGTACAGTTGCTCTTTGTGTTTTATCAATTCTGTGCAAAAACTGAAGTCTCCTGCATTATGCAAGAATAATTATGTGAGAAGGCAATTTGATAAACTCATCAGCAAAGGATGTGCTTAGGATCTAAATTAAATTTTACCTCCAAGCATTTGCCTCTGAAAAGAACAAACTTCAAATCATCTTTAAGAGCAGCAATTCCCATGAAGTTTCCCCAGTGAAACATTAGAGATTGACTAACCTGTTCTTTCCTTTTACTTTCCTGAAAAGATTAAAGTTTGCTGGGGAAGCTACATTTGCCAGGCAAGTTCATGGCTTTGCAAAGGAAGATTTGAAGATTTCAGTGTCTGGTTTACTAAAGGAATAAGCCGTAGTAATAAAACACCTTGTGCACATTATTCAAAGCTAGAAAAGCCTGTCAGGGACACATTTTTATATTCTTTGTCATTATTTTCCTCTTTGACAGGGAGGGAAACAACCATTTGTGAAAGTTTTGGTAGGTAGCTTTATAAACAAGACTCTCACCCTCCCTGAACGCCATTTAGCTGTCCTGGGCTTGGATACAAACAGCATCCCTGAGTCACCAGGGAGGAATGTCTGTGCATCACTATGGACCAATTCCCAGCAATGCCACTGACCAGAAGATGGAATGTTCTGCACCCTCACCCAATGGCTCACAGCCACCCAGTCACCTGCAAACAGCAGTATTTCACCCATCAGCCTATGAACCCCCTCTGCTGCACTCTCCTCCTGTGATTTATCCAGGACATGGTGCTGCCTTTTAGTGCCTCTCACTGGGATATGACCAGACCCCACACAAAGCTGGTAAAGAACTTTAAATGAACAAGAACAGCAAGATTTACAGTATCCCTAGGGCCCAGAATCTTCATATGATCCTTCTTCTGCCCTTTAGTACGAGAGCTCTGACATCTTGACAGCTTTAACAGAAACCCAGGAGGCAGAACAAGAAAGGAAGATCTTCGTAGTCCGTCTTGTCTTTTTTAATATGCTGAGGGATATTAAAACAGTGAAGCAGTAATACTTGGGACTGAGGGAAATAGGTAACAAGACAATGCTTTAAAGTAAAATTGTAACATTTAGGTAGTGAGACAAAAACACACCAAGAAATTCAGTCAGCAGCATCCCTGCCCATCTCAAGTTCTTATCAAAGAAAAAAAAAAATCAAATGCTTTGATTTATAATTTCAAAGTCTAAGCCTGAGTTACATCTCTTCTGGGTTTTCTGCTTAATGTTATGTCTTCCACAATTTACCTTTGAATTTTATTTCATCTATGAAAAAGGTTTTATAATTGGCTTATTGTCAATACACAGCTTCATATATATTCTGGATAAAGGGAATAAAAACAGTAATAAAGAATATTAAAAAAAAAGAAATCCTGTGCCATATAAACGGCCATTATCCACAGTTAATAATGATAAATATATAAATAACACCATCTATCTTTAATCATAAAGAACTTCAGGAAAATTATGGCCCAGCACCATAATTAAATACTGTAATTAAATTAATGGAAGTTCAGCAACTGAGTTCAAGGGGACCAGAGCCTGCTTTTGCACAGGGCAAGATAAACATTGAAGGATCAGTTTAACCATCAGCCAATGGGCCACCTGTGCAGGGAAATTGCTTTTCAGGTGAATTTAACTCTGGGACTTCTGGACAGGGAGGAAACGCTTCTCCACAGGCGGCTGAGACAACACATGCAATTAACTCTCTGAGTCCTATGGTTAATTGAAAAAATAAAAAAAGAGAAACTATCAAACAAATCCCCCATCCTCATGTGTCTTCCCTCCACCCCCAGAGCTGCAAAGACAAAGATTGGACAGGAGGTTACTCACCGTTGAGGAGTCACCGCTTCCCGTCTCAAGCGTAGCTCCCTCAGCACAGGTGGGTGGGTGGGTGGAAAGTTGACTAGCCCTGCCCCCATCTATGACATCACACTCTACCTCATAAAAGGTAGTGAAAGTGCTCTGAACTCCAGTCTGATTTCCGAGAGATACAGAAAAGAGATAGTGAGAGAGAGAGCAAGAGAAATATTGTGCCGTAGCGTAGAGCGAGGAGAGGGGGAACGTGTGCTGAAGGAGCTATGCTTGGCCAAGGACACAGGGCCTCCTCCACGGTGAGTAACCCCACTGGCTGGGGTTCCTCTCACTCCTTCCCACAGCACAGGCCTTGCCCATTCAAAAGGGGAACGTTTTTGGCACCTTTTGATGACAACCAGTGAGGACAGAAAGCTCTATCCCAATTAAACAGTGGCTGACATCAGATCGGGCATGAATTTGGTCAAGAGATTCCTTATTTCATGTGTGGTTTTGTACAGCCAAACTGCACAAAAACATCCACACCAGCGCAAGCAGCTAAAATTTCAGTGATTGCAACAGGAGTTAGACTTGTGTCGCCCCATGTGGGATAAACATCCAATTCACACCTGTGGATTGACCCTTGAGTAGAGTAATCCAGAGGTTGGGCCTCCTACACCAGTGCATGAGGGAGGGCAGGAACAGAATTATGGTTTTCTTGCACTGAAAATGAGAACTGACAAACTGTGCTGAAAGAACAAGTGAGGGAAGTATAAAAATTCTGGGCATATATTTATTTACAGAGCACACTTTCAAGTTCCAGAAAATAGCAATAAAATTGCAAAGAGGTGATGTTTTTAAAAATACACATTTTTAGACTATGACAGCCGTACAGGCTGAGGCACATTTTTTTTTTTTTTTTCAAACAACATCCCAAGGACTGATACTGGAGGACTTAAAATGGGATATTCAGTCTACTTTATTGTAAATGATATTTTTATCATCCAAATTCTTGAAAAGCAGGTTTGGGAGTAAATATAATTGCTTATATTATCCACTGGGATTTTCTTAATAACTTAGCTGTAGACTAAAATTGAAAAATAGTGTATTTTTTTTTTTCTGCTGCTACACCTAACTCCATTAAATAAAACTGGTTAGAGAATGGGGGACTTATTCAGTGCCAGTAAACACTGCTAGTGTAAGAACCTGCCTTTTGGAAGAGGAAAAATAAATACTCCCTAAATATCTTTTGAGGGTATGTATTAGAAGCACATGGAGTTAATACTGATGCTTTCCCTCAGGCTTTTTTGGTGCTACAAGGTTCATGTGAATTATAATCTAATAATGATTAGTATTTCTGTCTTAATAATGAATTATGTGCATTCTCTGCTCTGTCAGTGTGTTCTTTGTTTTTCCCTCCTTTCTCTGACTGAAAAAAGGAAGTGTGTGACTCATGTCTAGTACCAGTCACTCCACCTGACAACAGAGTCAAGCATTTTCCTTCTTAACCTTCAAAACTTTTATCACCGTGGTTATCCTGCAGTATCTGCAGATGTTGCTTTAAAGCAGTGCATTTGTGGGATTAAAAACTCAAAAAAATGGGTGTCCAGTGGGCGAAATGAAGTTATTGTGGCTGTTAGAGATGAGATGTAACTGCAGGAACACAATGCAAAACTAGGCTGCAGCTGAGGAATGTTCAATGTGACAGTGCTGTTCATAATTTAACTGCTTTCTCTGTACATCATCTCTTGATTACAAACTATTTGCATGTTTGAAGACAGGAGGAAAACCTCCTCTGGTCCCCTGTATTGCATTGACTCCTTATTAATATTTATGTTTAATGTCCTGATAAAGAGAAAAGAAAAATCCAATTTTTAAAGGCTTTTATGGTAAAAAGTACCAAGTAGTATTCAGTGAATTCATAACTTAGGTAACCTATGGCTTGACTACTGCACCACAGTTGTTTTTGCCAAATAAAGTAGGAACATATTTCAAACTCCTATGGCCACCAGTCCTGATGGAGTCTATGTGAGGTTGCCCCATCTGATAAAGAGAAGGATGTTTAGAGGATATAACCTTAAATATCAGAAAAATTACACATGTAACAGCAGTTCTGAGATCTTGTAAAGTGAGTTTAGAGAGGTAAAGAGGTAAATTGTCTTTTATTGGGATGAAACATATGGAAAAAGCAGAATTAAATCCTGGAAGACTGAGTATGGCAAAGGATATTCTCCAGTAAAAAGAGAAGAAATATGGAGAAATATGGAAAATTCCAATAATGTGATATAAACAGTTCAATATATTGGGTGGCAGATTATACCCCAGATGGTATTTTGGGGCTAATTCCACTTAAATCTGAAATCTTGTTTTGACCTACTTAGTATGATATGTGTAGCTGATAAAGAGAATATAAAGTGAAGAACAAAGTTAAGAGATGTGCACATTGACCTAAACACATTACTGAATAAAGCAGAGAAAGAGTACACCTCATGAAATTATTTTTAAATGTATGTACGTTCAAGCAAGTGTATAAATCTTCAAAATGTTTCAAGGAACACAAGATTAATTAAATGAGTGTATGGAAATGCAAAGAAACAGTAAATGAAGACTTTAATATCAATTATTTTCTTAAGAGATGTAAGTTAAGCCTAGCAACATAAGAAAAATATATAAATTCTGGTCAAGTAATTGATTTAATCACTTGCACCCAGCACCAGAAATCAGCTTAAAGCAGGGGTCCATGTTTAGCCTGAGATCAAAGATCTGATGGAAAAATATCCCAATGTGCTTCCTTTCTTGCTCCAAAGGATGAACACGTGGTGGGAAAGGCAGCACCACAAAAGCACCTCTGGGGGCTGTCTGGGGAGTTTGAGCTCAGAAAACCAACCCTGCAGAAGCATCACTCAGACTGGCACAGACACAGAAGGTAAAACAGGATGGATTCAAAGGAATTGAAAAGAAAGCTGGAAAAGGCCATGTAAAAATGCCAAAGTGACACAAATCATAAAAATCTGAGAGTTTTACACAGACACACCTCTGACCCAAAGAGAGCCAGCTGCTCTGGGGCATCAGCATGATGGATAAGGGGGAAAATCCTTTTTGTACATTATCTGTCAGAGTTAAGGAATGATGAAATATGGAACATCCCACCTGACACTGAGTAAAGCTGTAACTTCTCTAACTTTTTGACAATGGAAATGTTGAATATAACCAGTTGCAGGTATAAAAAGGGGATGAAAATGTTTCTGCAGTCTTTTGCTTCAGATATTGATGCTCTAATCCAGTTTTACAGAATTCTAATTTGGTCTTTGATGAGATTTAGCACACATTACTTGTATATTTCATCTCAGTTTCCAGACACACTATTGCCTACCTGGGAACCCAGTTCACAAGGTTTTGATGAGGTATTAGTCAGAATCAGAAAGAACTGATGTTAAAGGAAAGCTTTTGGGAATATCGAACAGTAAGAGGTTAGGATTGATTTTTCTGATACTGGATAGTTTCTTTTACTTTGATTTCATATCAATGTCTTAATTACATTGTAAAAAACAAACCCTTTTTGTTGAAGCAGCTGCTTATCAGCCATGTGAGATTAGATGTGATAACAGAACTATTCTTCCTGTGCTTCTATGAGGTACATAAATAATAATTGTAATAATAATATCACCCAAGTGTGGAAGAAAATATTTCAGAGGTTAAAGATAGAAGGCTACTTTTAACCCTCCTCACTCAGTTACCTCTCTTCCTAAACACCATTATGACCTCCCTCCCTCATTTAATGGAAACACATCTCTTTTTTGGATTTTATGAAAAACTTTGTTGTAAGCTGTTCTGTTCAGTATTTGCAGTTGATTTTGCTCAGGTTGGAAAAACCTGCTGATGTTTCCCCTTGAGTGCACATCTTTTTGTCTGTGAATAGTTCTTTGTATGTGTTACTTGTCTGCAACTCTGGTTGTCAAGAAACACAATTACAGTCAAAGTCAGTGATGAGTCTGAACTTTAGCTGTTATTCTTTTAATATCTGCAAAAGCACCATCTGATAGCACTTTACAAGTGGGATTTAGTGTCACCACTTTCCAACTCAAGGAGTTAAATAATTGCAAGAGCTACAAGATGTACTTCTGTATAAGAAACACAACACAACATCTCCTATTTTGAGTTAAATCTGTCATTGTGGAAATTCAGTCCCCTGTAATTCCATGTGCAAGAAACAAACCTCATTTTCATTTATGGCCTTGGGATGAACCTATTAGCAAATCTGTGCTGTGCATTAGGAGCTGAGAATGCCCCAGGGGAAAGGAATTCCTATTTAATACAAAATGTGGATGCTTGGTCCCAAACCATCTCTGTAAAGACAATAAGATGGGGAAACAAGTGAACATAAAATAGCACCAAAGCCCTCTCTTTCTTTATAGTAATTCTTACAGGAATAGTCCTTTGGGACCATATCTTAGGGTGTGTTAGAATGGTCTTTGAGCCCTGCTAATTATTGTAGGGCTGCTGTAATTTGTGTATCACAAAGCCATTAAATTCCCATTTTCTTCCCAGCTCATTCAGCATGGCCTGGAATAGGAAAACAGGCTGAAGTGAAGCTGTAACCACTGTAGCAGGTGAGCCTTGAATTTTGAGTGGCTACTATTTTTAAAGCAAATGCAGTATGTAATGAAGCACATACAACAGTATTTCTTTCAATTCTCCAACCTTTTTCTATGGTCATATTTGGTTCAAGCCTCATTCTTGACTCTGTAACATTTTACATTGTTTTCAAGGAATTAAATGGCTTCATATTGTTTGGGGTCAGAAATGCTTTTCTTTGCAGAAAATTGTTCTAATGAGAAATTTCAGTAAATTTAATCTTCACAAATGCATGAATATTAGTCACTTGATAAAGCACAAGAGCATGTTCCCCAGAGCCAAAATGCTTCTCAACAAGGATAAAAGTCTGACCTGTCTAAATTTAAACCTACTGAATGCAGACATATAGATGGTGTGTGTGCTTCTTGTCTCCATGAATATATTATAATGAAGACAAGTGCAGTGTAATTTTGCTTTGCAAATTAAATTCTAGATAACATCTTTCCATTTATGCAGGATATATCGTTTCATATTTATGTGTGTTTACACATGCATTCATACAAACTGCGGTATTTTTGTAGCCCTAAACATAGTCCTAAATATAAAAA